AAATGATTGTATTTGGAGGAAAAGCCAAACAAGTTTTTGATGGAAAAAATTGGAAATATGCTGATAATTCCATAGAGAACATACTTGAACATGGGGTGTCAGTTCCAGTTCAGTGTCCAATATTTTATCCAGTTTAATTAAATAAAAAATACATACAGTGAAACCCTTAATAACGAATACATCGGAAGAATATATCAAATGTCGTCTTGACAATTTTTCAATGAGTTTTATACTATATTACGTAAATTTCAGTATTTGCGAAAATTAATAAATAGCCATGAATATGCAGGAACAGTTTTAAAGAGTTCCATATTATCATTTAATTAAAAAACTAAATATCTGCAACATTCCATTATCAGAAAGTGAAGAATACGACATTTGATGAATTCTTTCGATGTATTCGTTATTAAGGGTTTCACTGTATATACCATTTTATTTGTGCTAGTTTTCATTTTAGCTTTAAGGAACTATAAAACACTCACCCCAAACCTTGAATTTATAATCCTTATATGTTGGCAACCTTATGGTGAAAATCTTTGATGATTCCAACTTTGACGAATTGATATGGCAGAATTCAAGTTTGAAATATCTAAGTTCTATAACATCAGGTTAAAAAAATATATGGATTAGCAAATTAGAATTTGTGGGAAGTGTACAGTTCCTTGGTTTTTTATTAAAAATCTTGCTTTAACATCAATTTTCTAAATTGTGTTCATTTAATATATTTGTGTCTTAAATAATGTTCTGACATAGCAAAAGATGGCTACTAAAATCACAAAAATATTATTTGTGTAGATGTATATCTGTATAAATATAATAAGTTTATTATATCATTTATTATAAATTTATATTAATTTTATCAATATTATTACCCAAGAAACATTTAAACCGACAAATAGTTACGATGGCGAAGATTTCGGATAAATAATTCTCGACTTTTTATATTCCACATCGACATGTAAAACGTCAGAGACTAAATGCTTGAAGGGTATCATTTTAAATAGTTAGTTTTATTATTTATCTTTAAAATTGTCAACGAATATGAAATTTTTGTAAACAAATTTTAAAAAATTCCCTTTTTAAAAAACTCCTTTTAGATCCATATTGCTAGGAACCGTTATTGGAGAAACTCTGATTCCTTTTATCCAGAAAGTGTTATACTTGAATACCGGAATCTTGTTTCTTTAATGACTCAAGGTTATGAATGCCCTTGTTTCCGCTAATAATGGAATCTAATTTCAAAGTATGATGGTATGTTTGGTATGTGTTTACAGTGTGGGTTCTGAGGGGGAAAAAGGATAGATTGCAGTTTTTTCATCTTACTTGAAACAAAACTTCTGGGGAAAAATTACTTTCAAGGAAATATAAACATCTGTTTTTTAATTCTAAATCATTTATAAATTAATAATTTTTGAAAGATTTTTTTTAACATTTTAAGGGATCAAATACAAAGAAATTAATATGTAACAGTTAACAGTTAGAAAAACTAAGTTAACAAACAGGTTTATCATTAACCGTTTTTTTTACTATAGCCAGACCTCACTCCTTACTGTTTGGCAAGTTGGTTAACGAGAGTTGTACTTCTATATAATCAATGATTTTGAGGTTTAATTTTTAGAAAATACATAAGTTGCCATTTCCATTTTCATGATCAGTTAATTTCTTTCATAACCGATTTGAAGATTTTAAAGATCAGTCAAATTTTTTGGAGGGTTGAGGGGGGACTTCCATTTTTATTGTATAATATTATTTTTTAACCCTCCCCCCCCAAAAAAATAAAAAAAACAGCCTCACAATACAATACAAATGCATGATATTTCTCACTTAGATCTAAGCTTCTGCGGACAATTGAGTCCAATGTTTATTCACTGATAATGGTTTCACTTAGTGGCAAAACTTAATGAATTTGGTCTGATTTGAACACGCTTTGTAAAGAGGTTCCTCGTGAATATGGGAAAAGAAAATAAAAACTAAGGAACCTGAGATCTTCATAAAGTTGATGGATGGTTGAGAATAAAAGTTAACAGTGGATTCTATATTTATCTTCTCCAAACCCTTGAGAAAAGAGAGTTCTTATAATAATACTTCGGGGTGTAATAAAACCATAGAGCTATACATCTAGTAGGGTATAATGTATTGTAACCATAGAGCTGTAAATCTAGTAGAGGTAGAGTGGTGTGTAACTAGAGAGCTGTAAATCTAGCAGAGGTAGAGTGTAGTGTAAACACAGAGCTGTAAATCTTTTAGAGATTATCGGGTGTGATATAACCATTGAGCATAATCAAAAATGGTTAAAAATTTTGATAAAATCAAAATATGTGGCAAAAGTTAAGCTGTTCAGTGGAAAATTTGAATCAAACACAATTAAGTTAGGCCATTTTCGATAATAACTTTATTATTTACATTTGTTGAATGATATTGATTTTTTGCAGATCTGTTGCCAATAAAATAATGTTTTAAAAATGTAAAATTTGATTTTGCTTTTTCACATTTTATAAATGAAAAAAAATTGCACTTTGACTTGACTAAGAAGATTACGTAAAAAATAGGTTTTGATAAAAAAAAACTAAAGCTCATAAACCCAGTCCATATTTAAAAGTTTTTTTCCGGACTAAAATCATTGTTTGGAACTCTTTTCTTTCGGTTTTTATGAATCTTTTTTTGATGACATTCAATCACTGTTTTCTTCTGAATTCTGCAAATATTTATGTCTTCTGTCTTATGTCATATATATTCTCCAAGAAGACCAATTTGCATTCATTCAGTTTCTTTAACTTTTTTTTATAAAATTGAACGTACTTTTAAAATTTAAGATTCCTTGCTTCCTGATTCCTGAATGATTCTAGACGATATTTATCAGGATTCCTTCCTGTGTCGTAGAAAGGAAAATGAATGAAATAAAATGAATAAATGTTCTTTCATTTCTCCGTAGTATTTGTTTGTAGTATAACTAGAACTGCTAACTAGAAAATCAAAAAAGAAAAAAAACGGTCGTTAACGAACATTAATGATCGATAACGACCTACCTGCAATAACGAAATAACAAAAAAAAATCAACAAAAAATCAATGCTGCCTTGATAAAGACTTATGTTAATCAAATATCTTTATAAAATTTACATAATTGAGTAAAAACTGAATTATGTCCCAACAAATAAGACATTAAATTTTACTGTTTGAATTGGGAGATTTTTGCAGTTTGCCAATTATTTAGCAAAAAAAGGAAACTGAATTATGTCCCAACAAATAAGACATTAAATTTTACTGTTTGAATTAGGAGATTTTTGCAGTTTGCCAATTATTTAGCAAAAAAAGGATAAAGAAACATGGCTTTTTCAAATTTAAAACCACGACTTACATAAAGTGAGCATTGAAATTCCTAATTTTGCACAAAATCTAAAGTGCAACGTTATGATTGACGCTATTAGATGTACCTAACTAGTTTATAATGTTAATGTTGATTTTCTGTAAACAACCCAAAGTCAGAGTTGTGTAATACATAAATCATATTTTTTATTATTGGTTCCTTAATAGACAATAATACAAAAAATGATGCTTTTTTTCTACAACTAAGTCCTATCGTGCTGGTAATTATATTATTGAAACACGCTGACTTTTGATTTAAATACTAGAAAATTTGTTCCGGATTCCGCAAGTATTTAATGAATAGTTTTAGTTGTCATTTAAATAGATACTCTATTTCAGATATATTTTCCGCGAACACTCCCTTTAAAAATCCCATCCGTGCAGGGAGTAAGGAATAGAAGGGAGACATAACTGACGCGGTTCGCCCTACCATATGATTATACATGCTTTGCATGAGAAATATTCAGAATAGGTTATTGTATACGCGGTATAATTGTACATCAGACAAATATTTCTTATTCAAATTAAGTACCGTATGCAAAGCATGTATAATCATATGGTAGAGCGAACCGCGTCAATTATATCTCCCTTCTATTCCTTACTCCCTGCATCCGTGGAATTCTGCCTTTAATTGACTAACTAAAACCACCTGTCAAAGACGGAAAAAATGTTGTCAAAAGTAAGCGTTAAGAGGTGAAGCAACTTAAGATAAACCCTAATCCAATTGGTATTGATTGCAAACAGATATTTTTCGATCCGATGTTTCTTGTTTCAGTGAACAGAAATAAATTTCCCATTCAGGNCTATGCATCTATGCATAGACTTGTATTTAGTGTTGTTGGAACGATTTATGTACGGATATTTCGTGAGTATCTAAATCATTTGGGGGTTTCATAGATCCGACGTTTCATAGATAATCACGTTTTTAGATAGGAAAGAACTAAGTCCCTTTTCCAGTAAATAATTTTAACTTTTAACTGTTGCTCTTAAAGTCGGCCATTTTAAATCATTTCAAATGCCGGATTTTTCTTTTCGAATTTGCGCTATTTTCCAGGAATTTTCTTCTCCACTTTTGATATTCCCAAAACCTTCCCTGCAGGGTCATGTGAGGTCCCATTCAAAATTTGGGTCCGATCGGTTTAGCCGTTTAGACGTTTATTGGATACAAACAAACAAACAAACAGACAGACAAACCAAATTTATAAACAGGCGCTAAAATTCTGAGGAGTTTTAATATGAGCCGACGATCACCGAGTGAAACGTAGCGAGCAAGGCGGAGGGTTGCAAGGGGGGCAGAGCTCCCCTTGCGTAGATTTTTTTTGTGGTTTTTTGTAGTAAAACTAGTAATTTTAGATTGAATTTTATGTTATGTAGAATATTTTTTTATCTTTTAACAACGTAAGTAATAATTTTAGCTTGAACTTAATGTTACAGTGAAAATTCGATTTTCCCTGAATTGATACACAGAAAGTTTTTATCTCAAATTTTACAATGTTGGGTGACATTAAATGTTGATAATTTCGATATATATTATATACAAAACAATGTTGCGGGATAAGTTAGTACATAAAATATTTAATTCTAATCTAATCATTATGACTTTAAAGATGATTTATCTAAGATTGATTGTTTTTAGTAAATGTATTGGTGGAAGGAGGATCTAATGGTGTGTCGGCTGAAGATGAAAAATATGAGTTCGCAAGCAAGGTTTGGATTGTAAACAAACTCCCAAAGTTTACAGAGGCTAAAAAAGAAGGTTTGAAATTATTTAAGATAATACAACTGCAATGACACCATTTTTTATTACTATAATTATTCATCAAAGGGATCAAATGAATTGAATCTTAGCCTCAAACTCTATATTTTTCCAACCCAGTGTCGTAGAACTTAAACATTATAAACTATGATGGATAAGATAAAAAAAGTCTTAGTTTGACAAATGAAAGGTTTACCCTACAACGCCTTTTTAAGGGTCCGTGGAAACTGTTTGTATGAAGCTCTCAGTCTCTTTGCTACACCTTTTATCTTAAGTGGACATTTTCATAAAACAATTTTAACCTAAAATTCCGTTGAATTGTTGTTAAAATTCTTGTTCTTCTGAAACAAAATCTTTGGTATTAAGGTTTTGCTTTGAGTTGCACGGCCGCTGGATCCCCTGTTCCGACCATTCAGTGGTACAAAGACGATCTGCCGCTTTTACAAAATGGCGTCGAAATCCATGAACCGATGGGACAAATGGGAGAGATCAAATCCGAAATAGTTTTTCCTTCTATTTCAAGAGCTCAGGTATAGTAAAACATGCATTTTTTACTTTTTAAGAAATCGTTTGGGATTAGGCTATATTTAAATTTGGGGTTTGACGAAAGCTTTGTTAAACATTACTGTTTAGAGTGGTGTGTATCGGTGTGTAGCAGTGTCAGGAAACCGGGAAGATCACACAGAAACTTTAGTTTATGATTTCCAAGGTATGAAACTGTTTTTTTAAATTAAGCAAAATCTGTTTAACTTTTATATATATAACTCTCCTAAAAGTATACAGAGAGAGAGTGGCGGAGAGAGAGTTAATAAAAAGAAAATACGAGGCCTGACCTGCCGCCAATTTTTTTCTGATTGACTTTATTAACACATAGAAATTAATAGGATATCATGGAATAGAAACCAATAAAAAATAAATAGCTTACATTGACAAAGTTTACTGAATTACATAGAAAGATTTTGAATAATACATTATGAATGATTTGTGTATGTTTAGTTATTTATTGGCAATATCTTGGTTTGTTTTTTTAAATCTTTAAGGTTTTTGGAATTTTTGAAGGTTCCACAAAAATAATTGCAAAAAAAATTTGTAGTACCTTTAAAAGTCTTTGTAAAACGCTGTCATCAAAAAATATTTAAAATTTTTTTGTATTTTTTAGGTTATAGAAGACACAATCAAGGAATATTTTCCTTTATGCCACATCTTCAGTATTCACCAAACCACTCGGTAAACAATCGTAATAATAATACCAACTATTGATAATATATCCAGCGCCAAATCATCGAGACCTTCTGATTTTAGTATACCTTTTTTCTGTACATTTTTTCATTGATTTTACCAGATTTCCGGTTTTTTATGTTATATTATGTCCCCGGAATCAAAACTTTTTTTTTTGTAAATCTGCAGGAGTAACAAGTTATTAGTATTTTTTTTGCTCGAAAGAATAAAATAATTCCGGACTTTTGTGGATAAATCCAGGGTAGAGATAACGAGACAGATTCAAGCACATTGTCCTAAAATTGTCGTCAAAAAATCGCCATTGTTTTTACCTCTAAATTATTCTAGACTGAGCCAACCATTGTCACCTGGACTTCTCTTGTGATGGGCGATCAAGGCCGGCCGGTCAAACTCCTCTGTGATGTTCAGGTAAACATAATAATCAACTTTCACCAATTTAAACTAAAAAGGTCAAACTTGGATTGTTATTTTATTCCTGTTTAAGCAGTTTTTTTCTTAAACCAATCCGGGACCGAATTTAAGGAATTTGAATTGCCCACCGCCGGTTAAAATTTTAATCACTGCCGATTCGAATTTGAACCAGGTGATTCAAATTTGAGCCGGCAATAGGTAGTTTAGCGACGTAGCTCAAAATCATTTAATTCGGTCCTTGAATCGGGAAGCAACATATCAAGCCCAAATGAGGCGTTATTAATATTAGTAAAATATCACAGAGTGTTTGATAGGTCGATTTGACTTCGTTCAATAACATTAAAATTTCTTCGAACAGATGCAAATAACGATATCAAATTGTTCAGAATCATAGAAACAACAAATAATGGTTTTATAAAACTATTTAGATAACAATTTAGATAAAGAGAATACAGAAAGAAACTGTAAGAGTTGAAGATGAATAAAAATTTTGATGATAGAAAGGATAGAAATAAAAGAGACAATGAACTGTATATTAAAGAATTCTCATATACTTTTAACATGGACCTGCATTATGAATATATAAGTTTTTAAATTAGCGGTATTCAATGAAGATTGGTTTATACCAAAAAACCCTCAGGTTTATCATTGAATCCAATGGAGGTTTAAAGAAATTGAGTCTTTAAAACAAACTCTGATTTTCTAATTCCTATAGTTGTGACAACCCAATGTTGTATCTACCTTAGGTATTTCAAACTATGAATTCTATTGCATCAAATAATCAAAGTTTGAAATATCAAAATATCAGGTGGAAAAGATTAGAAAATTTAAGTTTTTGACAAAAATTCAATTCCTTTCCATAGGTTCTAATTTTTCTAAAAGCTGTTGTTAAAATATGCATCTATTTTTGATTAAATTTATTGTTATTTTTTATCATGAATAAAAACAAATTTTCGGACATTTATTATCAGGTTCTATACACAGTTTTCAAACTTTGCTAAATTAAATGGCGTAACAATAAATGCGTCATTTCAAAAGAGCCTCAATTCTGATGGATGAATATTGGACACCTATGGACAAATGGAAAGCATGGATGATTTATTAGTTTAAAATGAACGGAACAAAATCGTTATTTACAAGTCACTATAACAAACACTGGATGTAGGGGGGATTGATTTTGGACTTTTTTGGAAATCAGCTAGCAGCTATTGATAAAAAAATACATATATATATATATGGATTTTATCTTTATAAACACAAAACCTTTCATTAAATGGAAAGAAACGGAAATTCATTGATTTAAAACGAACGGTTAACTAACGGCTGAAAAAGAACAAATGTACCCATTTTCCATTTCAAATATTTATTCCCTAATTCCTGTTTAGAGTGATATAAAGGGAAACGTGAAATGGGAGGATGGGAATGGAAATGAGATATCTCAAGGTCCTACTCTACTTATACCAGACCTCAAATGGGAGAATATGGGAGGATACACCTGTACATACAGTACAACAGAAGGTATAATAATGTACTGCAAATAATTTTTTTATCATAAAGGAATTGATTCTTTGTCACAAACTATGATTTTCTAATCTCTATATCTTTGTAATCCAATGCCATAAACCTTAGATATTTCAAACTATGAATTCTGTTAGATGAAAAAAATCTAAGTTTGAAATATCAAAGGTTTGCACCATCAGGTGGAAAAATATAGGTATTAGAAAATCCGAGTTTGTTACAAAGACTCAATTCCTTTCCAATACAACTAGAACGAGATCAAAGGCGTATACAAAAATCGCTGGTGAAACTGAAAAACACCTTTAAAGTGTTGTTTCTGGAATTCCACATATTTAATAATTTTGCATCCTTTTAGCCCATTTTCCCCACATCTTGATGTGTAGTGTGAAAGCTTATTGAATAAAAATTACCAAAAACCATTATTTCTTACTTTCTGTCTGGTTTTCAGTGCTATAATCATCGTATTTAACATTTAGTATCATTGACAGTTGTTACATGAGTTGGATAGTGGGACTTGAGATATTGTGATACCGGTTTTTTAATTATGAAGTATCGCTTGGTGGTTTTAATCTTTGTAAAACTATGCCATGCAAATGTTTGGAAATAAATCAGTCAAAGCAAATAAAAATGACACAATATTTGCAAAATTTTATGTTAAAAGAAAGAAATCATTTTAAAGTTTTCTGTTTATCACCGTATACAACTTTGCAAAGGAACTGAGTTTTTGTCACAAACTCAAATTATCTAATCCCTATATCTTTACAATCTGATGATATAAACCTTTGTTATTTCAAACTTAGATTGTTAGATCTAACAGAATTCATAGTTTGAAATATCAAAGGTCTACGACATTGGGTAGCAAAGATAAAGAGATTAGAAAAGTAGAGTTTGTTACAAAAACTCAAATCCTTTGTTAAGCTCTAAAGTTGCATAATTCAATCACTGTGAATATGCATGAAGTTTACATCATGAGTTCAAATTTTGATTGATCATAAATACCACTGCATCTTCTTGTTTGCTAGTGTACATTAAACATGAACATCGTTACTAGACTATAATAATTGTTTTCGTTATAGGTAAGAGGGAAAAAAGTATGTTTGTCTATCCACTCCTACCCTGAAAATAAGAAACCTATGACTTGAAAGACGGCATTAAAGCAAAATTTGATTTGAATCGATTTGATGTAAATTCTAAATTATTAAATAAATATAATTCATCTATCTATGTTTTGAAGTGGAGAAAGTGTAGAACATTTATTTTAAGCGTGTTATTAAAAAATGCACGTCTTTAAGTTTCGACTAATGTATCTAATATTTAAAACCAACTGTTTTGAATTTATTTTAAAAGTGTAGCCCCCCCCCCCTCACTAGAAGATCCTATTAATAATAATAGAAGATCATTAATAAAAATAGAAGATCCTACTAATAATAATAGAAGATCTTATTATTAATAATAGAAGATTCTATTAATAATGATAGAATATCCTATAAATAATAATAGAAGATCTTATTAATAATAATAGAAAATTCTGTTAATTATAATAGAAGCTCTTATTAATAATGATAGAATATCCTATAAATAATAATAGAAGATCCTATAAATAATAATAGAAGATCCTGTTAATAATAATAGAAGATCTTATTAATAATAATAGAAGATCCAATTAATAATAATTGAAGATCCTATTAATAATAATGGAATATCCTATTAATAATAATGGAATATCCTGTTAACAATAATAGAAGATCCTATTAATAATAATAAAATATCCTATTAGTAGCAATAATAACTGTAAAATTTTTACGGTGAACTAGAGGTCCTGGCTAAAAGTGTAGTGAGTCCTAATTTTAAAACTACATTTTAACTATAAAATGTAGATTTTTTTGTTGTTGCTTTTTCATACTTTTTGTTGGGCTATGCACTTTCAATATTTTAGTATATAAGGTGTTTTTCGCTATTATTGGACATCTAATTTAACGTATTGTACTGCCCGTTGTTCTGCCGAGTTCCCCACTCAAAATTAGAATTTTAAAGAAGAAAAAATTCAATTTATTTTACCCCATGTTTAGACCCAGGGTACCCATGGGTTCTCTCAAAAATTGATAGCCCATTTGGTCCCCTTGGTAGTTTTTTTCTTATTCTATAGCGTGAAGGACTGCAGAATCATTAAACTTTATTGTTTTCTGCTATAAATAATTTGTGTATAGATTTATAATGGTTCTGATAAGAAATTGGAACACTTGAACCGAATTATTCAATTAATAAAATCCCTTTTGCTAGCTGTATGGTATCATGATGTAAAGCATTATAAATCAGAATTTATCAAGGAATGGTTTGATCTCTTCCCTGTTACATGTTCTTGATATAATATATTGTTGATTTAAAGATTATTTTTTTTTTCAAATATCAATAGTTTGAGGACCTAAAACTATAAAGACAGGTATTTGACGACCACCCTTTACAAATTGTATTGTACCACAGTAGAAATATTGGTTTTATCACCTACTAACTGTACTGTACCACCTAGGTACTTGAAACTGTATGTACAGCAGTAGAATTATTTGTTTTATCACCTACTAACTGTACTGTATCTGGTACCACCTGGCACCTAGGTACTTGAAACTGTATGTACAACAGAAGAAATATTGGTTTTATCACCTACTAAGTGTACTGTACCACCTAGTTACCTGATTCGTTTGTACAAAGGTAGAAATACCGGTTTTATCACCTACTAACTGTACTGTACCTGGTACCACCTAGGTACTTGAAACTGTATTTACAACAGTAGAAATACCGGTTTTATCCCCTATAAGTCTACTGTTCCGCCTAGGTACCTGAAATTGTAAGTAACATGTAAAAATACCGGTTTTATCAACTACTAATTTCTCAGTCTCCCCCTAACCCTGCTAGCAACTACACATCTCTGTCACTCTCTCTCTCTCCTAGCCTGATACCAGCTGACCCAGCTGTTGCTATGGCGGGGAGTTTAAAACACAAACAATGAGAATTACACATAAACTCTTAGAGTTGTATAAGGAAGGAGTGGACCTAGGATTGGATATCAAGCTTAACCTGTGGACTAAAGATGAAGAAGAATTTTTCTCATTTTCTCGAGTTTCTCAACCCATCTGCAGGAGAAGGAGAAGAAACAGAGGTGTGATGTCAACCCTGAAGGAAGTGAGACTACCCCAGCAGGACGTGCAGTCTCCCCTGAAGGAAGTGCGGTCCCCTCTGAAGGAAGTGCAGTCTCCCCTGAAGGAAGTGCGGTCCCCTCTGAAGAAAGTGCGGTCCCCCCTCACAGAAGTGCTGTCCACTCTGAATGAAGTGAGACTACCCCAGCAGGACGTGCAGTCTCTCCTGAAGGAAGTGCGGTCCCCTCTGAAGGAAGTGCAGTCTCCCCTGAAGGAAGTGCGGTCCCCTCTGAAGGAAGTGCGGTCCCCCCTGAGGTAATTGCGGTCCCCCTGGAGGAAGTGCAGTCCCCTCTGAAGGAAGTGCGGTCCCCCCTGACAGAAGTGCTGTCCACTCTGAAGGAAGCTAGACTACGTACCCTTGCGGGATGTGTCAAAGTCCCCATGGCAGGAAATCGGGCGACCATGGAAGAATATGAGGAAACCCCTGAAGGAAGCTAGACCTCTACTAGAAGATAGAAAAGCAAAGATGAAAAGAGCTAGATCTCCTTACCTAACTTCCTCCCCTATTCCTCAGCTTGATGGGACATATGCACCATCAACACCTAAGATCAATCTTCTTTCCAAATCTGAGGATACTGAGGAATCTGATCCTGAGTCTACGCCTGAACCTGAACCTGAGACTGAGTCTGGGCCTGAACCTGAACCTGAGACTGAAGCTGGTCCAGAATCTGAAACTGAACTTGAAATCGAACTAAAGCCACCTGTGAACATTGCAAACCCAATTTTTAGTTTCTGTGAAGAAAAGGAATGTACAGTTTGCCCAGTTAGGCACAACGCAATTAGAGCATTTGAAAAAGTAGAGAACCAAATAAAATATCAGTTGGTTAATAACTATAAGAAGTTCTGTTGTTTCTCAGCAATGGATGACGAGGGAGTCAGCTGCCAAATATTGCACTGGCATTCAAAGTCTAATCATATGAATCATTTATATAGAAAATAAATAATGTAGTTTTTCCATTTAGCAAAGGTGTAAACTTGCAATACAATTGTAATATTTTAATCTCTGCTACAAAATACATGTTTAGATTTTTTTTTTAAAACTGCTAATTGTACTGTACCGCCTAGGTATCTTAATCTGTATGTACAGCAGTAGAAATACCAGTTCTATCAACTGGTAATTGTACTGTACCACCTAGATAACTAAAACTGTATGTACAACAGTAGAATTGCCTGTGTTATCAGCTACTAATTGTACTGTACCGCCTAGGTACCTGAAACTGTATTTACAACAGTAAGAGTACCAGTTCTATCAACTAATAATTGTACTGTACCGCCTAGGTACCTGAAACTGTATGTACAACAGTAAGCATACCGGGTTTATCAACTACAATTGTACTGTAACCCTTAGGTACCTGAAAAAGTATGCACAGCAATAGAAATAGCTGGTCATATCAACTACTAATTGTACTATACCGCCTAGGTACCTGAAACTGTATGTAAAACAGTATGAAATACCGGTTTTATCACCTACTGATTGTACGGTAGGGCCTAGATACATAAAACTGTGTGTACAAGAGTAAAAATACCTGTTTATCACCTACTAATTGTACTGTATCGCCTAGGTACCTGAAACTGTATTTACAACAGTATGAAATACCGGGGTTTATCACCTACTAATTGTACTGTACCGCCTAGGTACCTGAAACTGTAAGTACGAGGGTAGAAATACCGGTTTTATCAACTACTAATTGTACTGTACCACCTAGGTATCTTAAACTGTATGTACGACAGTAAAAATGCCAGTTCTATCAACTACTAATTGCACTGTACTGCTGAGGTACCTAAAACTGTATGCACAACCGTAGAAATACCACTTATATCACCTACTAATTCTACTGTAATGCCTAGATACCTGAAACTGTAAGTACGATAGTAGAAATACCGGTTTTTTCAATTACTAATTGTACTATATTACTTAGGTACCTTAAATTGTATTACAACAGTAGAAATACCAGTTCTATCAATTACTAATTGTACTGTACTGCCTAGGTACCTGAAACTGTACATACAAACGTAACAATACCACTTATATCACCTACTAATTGTACTGTAGTGCCTAGGTAAATGAACTGTATGTACAATAGTATAAATGCCGGTTTTATCAACTACTAATTGTACTGTAACGCCTAGGTACCTGAAACTGTCTGTACAACAGTAGAAATACCAGTTCTATCAACTACTAATTGAAACTGTATGTACAACCGTAGAAATACCACTTATTAGCGCCAAGGCACATGAACTGTATGTACCTAGAAGTGCAGTATAAATACCGTTTTTATCAACTACTGATTGTACTGTAACGCCTAGGTACCTGAAACTGTATGTAAAGCAGTATGCAATACCGGTTTTATCACCTGCTAATTGTATTGTAGCGCCTAGGTAGAAATAGTGGTTATATTATCTACTAATTGTACTGTAACGCCGAGGTATCTGAAACTGTATGTGCAACAGTAGAAATACCAGTTTATCACCTACTAATTGTACTGTGTCGCCTTGGTACTTGAAACTGTATGTACAACAGTAGAAATATCGGGTTATGACCTACTAATTGTACTCTACCACATATGTACCTGAAACTTTATGTACAACAGTATAAAATACTGGTTTTATCACCTAGTAATTGTACTAGATTAACTGTGCATTATTACAATTATTGATTTTTGTAAATCCAAAAACTAAGACACAGATTTGTCACATTTAAACAAAACCAAAATTTTTAATTTTCAATGAAACCATTTGATTGCAATTATATTCTTCAAGATACCTTTTTTCTAACGAGTTATCAACACTAATATCTGAAAAATATTTTATATAAGAATTAAGAAATGGTTTTCTTTAAATTCAAAATGGAAATGAAATTTTATTTTACTTATTTCTATAGCGATGTTTATACAGACCTTCCAATTTAGTCTCGTCAAATTTGAAGGTTTAAAAAGTTTCTATTGGATAAGTAATTATTTTGAGTTCGCGATCCACTTTACAAATATTAACCTTGTTTTTGTGACCTCATTTTTCAAATTGGTTTGTTGTCTCGAAGTCTATACTTAATTACACTGCAGCTTTATGTCATATTTATAACATCTTTGATAAAACTTTACCAGACTTACAAACTAGCATATTCTTGGTCCTAACACAGCTTGCAATTTACATAAAGGACGATGATGAAATAATAAGAATTTTTTATCCTGGTTAAAACTTTTGCCTCAAAAGTTTAAACTTTCAATGTTATTTATACGAGGATGAAATTTTAAATAAATCAAAATGGTTTGCGTAAATTTGATAATAAACCTGCATTGTACAATGTGTTTTTAGAAACATGAAAGTTGAGATAAGAATTAAAGATCGTCGTTTATCTTTGAAATGATTTGCGGCATTCAACTGTCAACTTAATTTTAAAGTTATGTCCATTTGTAATGATATAAATTGATTACGTTCATAACAAATTTTTAAGCACTCACAGAAATGATTGAAAAAGCCAAAATTTTTAAACCGAATACAAACACAGAAAACTGAACTAAGGAAACAACAACTTATAAAAGACTGTAGACTTAATTTCAATTGACTCTCCTTTTATAAAGGGGCTTTTCTGATTTACAAGAGTATACTTCACGTTATTAATAAGATAAATGTTTGAAGAATACTGTTGTGAACCAGGCAAAACTATCCAATGTACAAATCAAGCAAAACTGTTTCACGGGCAGCCGTAGTACATTTGAATTTCCAAGCCGGGTCAATCTTTCCGGTCCCAGTTTGTTCTGTATCGCCCGGACATTAGGTAAATGAAGCAGACACTCAATAGGACTAGTCCGTGCAACAAGGTTGGCGCGGTCAGACTTTAGGTTGAATTTACTTTTACTAAAGGGTCAGGGGTGCGTGGTTTGAGTAAAAATAATACAAACATCTAACTTTAATAGAATAAGTGTTTAGATTTTTCTAGATGACTAAATTAACTGACAAAATCGTACATGCGAAAAAAACTATAGGTTACTTTTACATAGTACACAAATTCATATGAACTTATATGAAAGAATTTAGATATATTTCAAGTCACAAATAAAAAATTACAAAATATGAATGTTGATTGAATATTGGAAAATTTTATTAATAAAATTTCATTTCATTGATTATGGAGTTGACTGACATTAAAGAATAGCTTTAGATTCGAAAAAAAGGCCGGCATTATGTATATTTTCCATTAGGTTTCTTCAATGAATAACTATAAGAAGATATTACAATAAGCATGGTTAATAATGGCGTCAAACCTTATAGAAATCCAACGCATAGAAACAGCTACGCACAGCAACATGGCGTATTTTCCGGGAGAACATTTTTTATATTTTTGAGAATTAAACGTTTTTGTAAAACATTGTAGCTTATCATTATTATCATTATCATAATTTCTATTTTTTTAACATACCCTAGACATTAAAGGAGCAAAATAGTTTAATATGTACATTTGTACTGCTCTCTATTGTGTTTACGGTCCCCCATGGATTTTAATATGTACTGACAACATTAATGAATGATTATATGGTTATACATAAAATTGCGTGTTACTCTTAAAAAAGATATTTTATAAAAATGCTATCTACAGTTTTATTTTTAGAAAATAAAATCTTAAAAGTATAGAAAAAAGTTCTCCAGTAATGCTAATATGATTTCATAAAATTCCGTTTTACCATATAAATAAAAGGATTTTATGAAAACTATATCTACTTTACACTGATTATTTAATTTCTCAAAAATATAAAAAATGTTCTCCCGGAAAATACCCCTTGTTGCTATACGTAGCGGTTTCTATACGTTGGATTTCTATAAGGTTTGACACCGTTAATAATCAATTGTACATAAAAATATACAATGTACATATAAGCGTACGTGTAAGCATGCGTATATGTATTTAATATAATAATTGGCGTGTCTGAATATAAATACAGTTTAACCAAGAACTTCGAAGTCCTCGAAAGAATTTATAAAATGTCGTCTTGACAATTTTTTAATGGGTTTTATACTAAAACCTATATTTATATCATACCCAAAATCTTGCAGAAATAAATTAATAGCCATTAAATATGCTGAAACAGTTCGGTCAAAAGAGTCAGAGCTTTAAACATCATGTAATTTAAAGTACACTTAATATATCGCAGAGTAGAAGAAGCTTAATATTTCGAGTGTTTTTTTTTTCGACAAAATAAGCTCTTATGGGAACTGAGTTATTGCCCCAAACTCTGACTTTCTAATCCCTTTTTCCATGCAACCCAATACTGTAGAACTTAGATATTTTACACTATGAACTCTGTTAGATCAGATAACCTAAGTTTGAAATATCAAAGGTTTATACTATCAGGTTGCAAAGATATAGGGATTAGAAAATTGGAGTATGGGGCTAAGGCTCAATCCCCTTTGTCAGGTGATATCCGTTCTATTATCGGATTTTTAAAAAAAAGTTTTTTTTAACACAAAATCTTCTAAGATTTATTTGACAAAGAATCTTCTTCTAAAACGTCTGGAAGAGAGCACGTTCTCATACCAAAATCTTTTCTTCTAAAATATATTTGAAATTTTTAAAAATAAAGGAATTGAGTCATTGCTGCAAACTCTGATTTTCTAATCCCTATATCTTTGGAACCCAATGTCGTAAACCTTTGATATTTCAAACTTATATTATTTGATCTAACAAAAGGTCAAAGGTCTACGACATTGGAATCCAAAGATGTAGGGATTAGAAAATCAGAGTTTGTGAAAAAGACTCAATTCCTTTTATGATTTGTCCCAATTTTCATAATATTTTTCTCTCTTTCAATTTTTCTCATTGGATCTATTTTCTTATTTGTTACTTAATTTTAAAAAATACGTATATTTTACTTATTTTTTCATGTGAACTGACATTTTTATGCTCACTCACCGTTTCTTCTTACTGTTTGAGTGGAATTCTACACATTCCATTTCCGGACTGGAACTATCCCTGAATGCATTATTGAAGCTTAATTTGTTATACATTGTAACAGTGGGCGAGTTTTGTTGATCTTTTACGATCAGCAATTCAAGGATTTTTTGGATCGCTGAGATCATAGCTACCAAGGGGAATCATGCCCCCTTTCCCCCCCCCCCATCTTTAACCCTACGGTTGGACTTTAGAGTCCTATTTTGAATCCTAACGGATTTATTTGAGTTTGCATTTGGATTCTATAAATAACCCAAGCGACGCCGAATTTTCCGTTATCTTGAAGACCCAAGCGTTGGGGAGGGGGCGGAACAACCCCGGGGTAGCTAGGGTTAAATGCGATCCTAGGATGGAGCAAAATCGAAGGAGGAGAGTTAGTTGA